AAGTACTTTCTAATTTTTCTTTGTAACTTTATTGTATTTAGTAATCTGACAGCTCGAAATTCCTATAAATAATATATGTAAATTTGATATATATTCGTCATTTCAATTTTATGTATATGTTGGAGGTAAATTTTTGACTGTGGAAGAAAAACAATTACAATGGATTCTCATCTACCAATTAAGACATACTATATGATACCCGAGTTTCTTTTACTTATAATTCCATAATTCTGATATCTAACCCATTTATTTAAACTCTGTGTAACTATTGATTTCGTTTGAAAATTTAGCAAGAATGAAACCACAAACATGAGTATTGTTGGGATCAGATTCCTCCCACAAAAATCAACAATTTTAAACGACTAAGTGTGGAGTTAAATCGGCGAGCCGCTCGTTAAACCGACGGTTCAACTTGTTAAACCGGCAAGCCGATGTTAACCAGCTGTCCGTTGGGCTTTTAGACATAGTAGGCCGATCCCGAAACAAGACATAAGAGCAAGCCCAAGACATACCAGAAATCTTAGCCGACTTAGGACTCTCCACAGATAAAGGAAAATCTCTAAGGAAAAGAAAGTTTTTTTTTATTGTTTTAAACTTAGCCCTAACCGACCTAAATTTGTATAAATATTCATTTACAGCCTCCAAAGAGGAGATCCGAAATTTATTCACAAAACACTTGTATTCTGCAAAAACTTTCTTAACAACTTAATAAAAACTCTCTTAAGATCTATACGTTTCAGTGGTTTTTCGCAGAAATTTTCGAACCCTTTAAAAATTACTTGACAAATTCTAATTGTGAGATTCGACTCCCACAGTTTCTCTCTTTCCTACAAATTTGTAAAACCTTGAATAATCGAAAGCAAAGAATCGAAAAGAGTACCTCTATACGTGAAAAACTAGCTAGTACACATTAAACTACAATTTTCCAAAAACAAAACCATCCAATTCGTAAGCATTTTCTCTTGCTAGAAATATCAACTTGCTACCAAAGTACCAACCCTAGAGCCTGGAGATAATGTTTCATTTCTTATTTTATAAACTTTTCCCTCGACTAACTTTCTTCTTGTCTAACTATAAAAAAGAAGTAATAAGAAATAAATCCCGCGCAGACATGGGCATTATCGGTATTTCGTAGACTTGCAGGCTATATAAAGACCACTACTAACGGCCATTACTCCCACTTCCTTCACGTCTCTGTTTTAAAACACACACCAAAAAAACCTCCATTTTACGAGAATCATCAAAATTTCAACAAAAAAAAAAAAAAGATTCCTACGGGAAGAAAATTTTAGACCGGAGAATCTGCGTTTTCACCTTATACGTAAGTATATTTCACCTTATCTGTTTATATTTTTGTTACGTTTTTTTTAATTTCCGAAATATGATGAAAGTGTAAAGATAAAATCATAACAAATAACAAATGAAACTAGATAATAAATCGAATTTTCCACTTCGAATATTTCACCTTATCTGTTTTATATATTTTTGTTACGTTTCTTCTTTTTGACTAGACCATAAAATGAAACATCTGATGTTTTATGATTTTTGTTTTTTTTAAAGAAGCCCATGCTTCCTCTGTGTTTTTTTCCTTGGAAAATGCAAGAAAATTTAGTAATCGTATTTTTTTTTTTAAATTGTCAGATCTTAAAGGCATGGGAACAAACGAGACAACATGTTCAGGACCAATGAAAGCAACCTCTAATGGAATTTTTCAAGGAGAGAATCCTCTGGATCACGCTTTGCCTCTTCTCATACTCCAGATCTGTATCGTTCTTCTTCTCACTCGTGTTCTTGCTTTCCTCCTCCGTCCTCTCCGGCAGCCACGTGTCATCGCCGAGATAGTCGTACGTTTTCACAATTTCTTTTAATATTCTTATTCCATATTTGTGTTCTAACTAAAAGTCAAAGAGATTACCAAATTGATCAATATATCCAACTCTTAAAGATGAAGTAAAAATAAGCAATTATTATTTAGTCTACAAACCAATCATAGAGTGAATAAGTCGTTGGGCATATTCATTTTCACAGAATATTCATTTTCTTCCACACAAATAGATGACACGATAAGCTTTGACTGTATGCATATTTGATCTTATAGTAGTTGGATATATAGTTTTTAAACTTGATTAGTCAATACTCAATAGTAATAATGGATTAGGCAAGTTTTACAATTATACTTTTTATGCGTGTGTGGAAAATATAATGTAATTTAAGTTTGTGTTGACACGTTAATAGTCATTTTCTTCCACAAAAATAGTTGACACGTTAAGCTTTGACTGTATGTAAATTTGATCTTATAGTAATTCGAAAATTTTTAAACTTAGTCAAGGATTAGGCAAGTTTTACAATTATGCATTTTTCTTTTTTTCTGTTTGTGTGGAAAATTATACTGTATCCCTTATATATATATAATTTAATTTTGTGTTAATGTTATTGTGATTTTGTGGGTTTAAAGGGTGGAATATTACTTGGACCATCAGCACTTGGGAAAAGCTCAAAGTTTCTCAACACAGTTTTCCCACAAAAGAGCCTAACGGTTTTAGACACACTTGCAAACTTAGGACTCATCTTCTTCCTCTTCCTTGTTGGTCTCGAGCTCGATCCTAAATCCCTCAAACGTACCGGGAAAAAAGCTCTCTCGATCGCTCTAGCCGGAATCACTCTCCCTTTTATCTTAGGAATCGGAACTTCATTTGCACTACGCAGTACCATAGCTGATGGTGCTAGCAAAGCTCCTTTCCTTGTCTTCATGGGCGTTGCTCTCTCCATCACCGCTTTTCCGGTCTTGGCTCGAATACTCGCCGAGATTAAGCTTCTGACTACTGATATTGGCAAGATTGCTTTGTCTGCTGCTGCAGTCAATGACATTGCAGCTTGGATTCTCCTTGCTCTCGCGGTGGCTCTCTCGGGTGAGGGAAGCTCGCCGCTCACTTCTCTTTGGGTGTTTTTAGCGGGTTGCGGTTTCGTCGTGTTCTGTATCTTTGTAGTGCAGCCAGGGATAAAGTGGATTGCTAAACGTTGCCCTGAGGGAGAACCTGTTAAAGAACTTTACGTGTGTTGCACGTTAGGTATTGTTCTTGCTGCTAGTTTCGTCACTGACTTGATTGGGATCCACGCGTTGTTCGGCGCCTTTGTGATCGGGGTAATTTTCCCGAAGGAAGGTAATTTCGCGAATTCTTTGGTTGAGAAAGTTGAGGATCTCGTGTCAGGTCTTTTCTTGCCGCTTTACTTCGTCTCGAGCGGTTTGAAGACAGATGTGGCGACTATTCAAGGAGCTAAATCTTGGGGACTATTGGTATTGGTTATTTTTAATGCTTGTTTCGGCAAAATCGTCGGTACAGTCGCTGTTTCACTTTACTGCAAAGTTCCGCTTGACGAATCTTTAGCACTTGGTTTCTTGATGAATACGAAAGGCCTTGTGGAGCTCATTGTCCTCAACATTGGTAAAGACAGAGGAGTAAGTCCATAAAACTTACATTCATATATATATACGTCGATATGAATATTTAATACTCACTGATGAATTTGTTTTTGATGTGTTTTTCTCAGGTTTTGAATGATCAAGTCTTTGCTATAATGGTTCTAATGGCGATTTTCACCACGTTCATGACGACTCCTCTAGTTCTAGCAGTGTACAAACCGGGTAAATCCTTAACCAAAGGCGATTACAAGAACCGAACGGTCGAGAAAACCAACCAGTCCAACAAACCGCTCCGTCTCATGTTCTGTTTTCAAAGCATAATGAACATTCCCACGATCGTCAACCTCATCGAAGCATCCCGAGGCACGAACCGTAAAGAAAATCTATCGGTCTACGCAATGCATCTCATGGAGCTTTCGGAAAGATCATCAGCTATACTAATGGCCCACAAGGTTAGAAAGAACGGTCTTCCTTTCTGGAACAAAGACAAAACCGGGACTGATTCTTCTCCGGACATGGTCGTGGTCGCATTCGAGGCTTTCCGGCGACTCAGTCGTGTCTCAGTGCGTCCCATGACGGCTATCTCAGCCATTGCGACTATACATGAAGATATATGCCAAAGCGCAGAACGCAAACGCACGGCTATGGTAATTCTTCCGTTTCACAAGCACGTTAGGCTGGACAGGACGTGGGAGACGACTCGGAACGAATACCGTTGGATTAACAAGAAGGTTATGGAGGAATCTCCATGCTCGGTAGCGATTCTGGTTGATCGTGGGCTTGGTGGCGCGACACGAGTAGCCTCTAGTGATTTCACGTTGGTTATAACGGTTCTGTTTTTCGGAGGGAATGATGATCGTGAGGCATTAGCGTTTGCGGTGCGGATGGCTGAACATCCTGGGATAAGCTTAACCGTTGTTCGGTTTATTCCTAGCGAGGAATTTAAACCGGACAATGTGAAGCTCGAGATAACCGAAGATCATGTCAGTTTAGGTTCAGGGGAAACCAAATTGACTGATATAGAAGCTATAACCGAACTTAAAGCAAAGATAAAGGAACAAGAGAGTTCTATATCTAATTCGGATTCCAATTCTCGGATCAATTTCGAAGAGAAAATCGTGAAATGTTACGAGGAGGTTATTGAAGGTATCAAAGAATATTCTAGAAGCAATCTTTTCTTGGTGGGGAAGTCACCGGACGGTTCGGTGGCATCGGCGTTAGACGCGATAAGAAGCGACACGCCTGAGCTCGGACCTATTGGGAATTTGTTAACGTCAATCGAAAGTGTTTCGACGTCGGCGTCGGTGTTGGTGGTTCAACAGTACATAGCAAACCGTGATCCTCCTGTGGTCGGAGTTTCGAAGAACATTACTATGGAAGTGTCGCCGGTTGAGGATTCCGAGAGTTCTTAGGAAAGATTTCAAGAGTCGAAAAAGAAAAAATGTTGGCGAATATTGTAAATTGGCTAAATCTGTTTCATACTGTAAATAGTAAATATGAATATAAGTTTGTTTGTGCAC